GATCCTGGAATGTCCCATTTTTTCTTTGGACATCCCTATTTTCATCAGAGAAATGTTGGAGGCCAAGGAGATAAGCAACTATACAACCTTTAGAAGACATCTGAAGGCAGCCCTGTATAGGGAAGTTTCTTTTTATGTTTCATGCTTTATTATGTTTTTATATATGTTGGAAGCCATCCAGAGTGGCTGGGGCAACCCAGTCAGATGGGAGGGATGATGATGATGATGATGATGATAGGATGTCCCTATTTTCATCAGAGAAATGTTGGAGGGTATGGAGTTTTTCCCAGCCCTTCTTGCAGAAGCCAGATGCTGAATCTGGCCACTGAGGCTCAAATTGGTCAAGGAAGTAGAACTAAGGGGTGGGATTTTTAATAGCTTGGATAACTGTTTATCTTTTCATTTCTACTGATCTACTGTCTGTCTCATTTATAGGGGGTGGAGGGGTGGGGGGTGTTAAGCCCCGACTCACATTAAGGCGAAGGCACACAGGTGATTTGCTTGTTATCTTATCTTAATTTGCCTAAATATCATGTGAAACTTTCTAAGCAGCATTTGAGCGCATTATGTTTGTCCCCAACCAATGAAAGATGGAAATTACTGGACCCTGGCCCAGTGGATATTCCCTACTCAAATAATCAAATTGTTTGAAAAATATCTTTCGGTTTACTTGTCCCAATACAATAAGCAGAAGCCCACAACAGATGTGGGAATGGGGTAGAGAGGAATAAGTTTACTTTGAGATTAGCTCAATTATCATCATGTTGAAAAGCTAATCAAATAAATGCCAAAATCCCCATTGTGACAGCCACTATGTAATCAAAAAGCATGAGAGGCAGGTCCAGAGGACACCTGTCCTTGTCAGGAGAAGAGCTTATGCTTTCTCGGAACACTGAGACAAGAGTCTAACTTACAAGCATTTTATGACCAATGGTGTACAACTGCATTGCAATGAGTTAGATCAGATGACTGCTTAACAAGCTAAGATATGAATGAGCCTTTCACCTGTGCTCATATCCGCTTTGTTCCTTCTCTCTGAATAAACCATGACATAACCAGGAAATTACCAACCACAGTTTCCCATTTTGTCCAAATGTAGAAATTCTGGTTAATAGCTTCAAAACAAGCCAGAATATTGAACAAACTTCTGGCTTGTTCTGAAGTTGGCAGCCACAGTTTCTCAGTTCAGATCAAATGGGAAACTATGGTTATTTTGAAACTTCCCAATTTAATTGTGTCTCACAAAAAAGGAGGAGTGAAGAAGGCAAACTTTTTTTTCTTCCAAATCTCAGCTTGTAAATTTGTGATATGATCATCTGAACCTGCTCAATGTATACCTGAGGCAAAGGCTATAACAGACTCCTTTGTGTAGAAAATGTATCCCAATCAGTCTAGGCAGTGGTGAGTCATTTCCATTTTCACTTCCATTTTCGACTTCCACTTACAAGAGCAAGGATATATCTATTGCCTCTTTGTTTGTTTGTTTGTTAAATTTGTATACCACCCTACACCCGCAGGTCTCAGGATAAAAACCACAATACACAAAATACATAATCAAAATAAAAACCAGAACGACCCAATAAGCCAAAGTATCTGTTGTTTCAGGTGCGTCTTGCTCACACAATTAACAGGTAGGACACAAGTCGTTCTGAGTCCTTGCACACCTTTACAACTGCCCAGGACCAGCCCAAGACATTTTGGCACCTGATGGGAACCACAAGAGGGGGGACCCTCCACCAGTGAAGAACTACATCAGGAACAAGGGCAAAATAAAGGTCTACATCGGAAACAATAGTGGGAGGAGACCAGAAGTGCGTCCTATTTGCCAAGAGGCTGCTGCAGAGATGGCATTATGAAGGGCTGCTAAAGAGACAGAGCAGAGACGGCTTCCAAGTCACATGGCATAGCTCTCGCTGCCACCGTGGCAGCCATAGGTGACGCAGTCCTCGGAGGCCAGATCTGCTGCCCCTGTGGATCCAGCCACCTGAGACGGTCGCCTCAGCTCACGGGTGGGCCAGCTCAGTAACTGTCACATGTTTCCTGAACCATTTGGCCAATCTCTTTGGAAAGAGGTCAATCTTTGCCCAAAGTTCTTCAGGATAAAACCTTCCTAGGAAAAGGTATTTTGAGGACGTGATCTGAAACGCATTGCAAGTAGGAATGGAGCCCCGCTGAGGGCGGTGGGATTTATTTTTGAATGTCCTGATCAATACAACATAGTAGTGATATAATTCACACACTTCCTAAAAATACCAAAACCCACTTGTTTTGTTTATTGTAAAAATAAAAATTAAAAAATGAAGAAGCACAGACTCTATGAAACGAATTCAAATCCATGCACTTCAGTGCATTTTTTTTTGAAAAAGTAGACATATTCTGTCATACATTTATGTTTGACATGTGCCTTTTTAGTTACTCCATGCCCATCTGCCTGAATGATCTGTGATCTTATCTAGAAGTTAACTAGGGAAATGTGCTGTTTGACCTTTATGGCTGAATGGAGTCTATAAGGAAGTTCCCAGTGACTTTGGAAGGATGCCAGCATGGGTTGTTTTTTTTTAACTGCTTAAAGGGTACAGACCTTTTTCCAAAGAAAAGGACAGAGGAAAACACCCCATATTTTAAACACGTGGCCGGTTAACACAGATGAAAACTTTATATGAAATCACTGGGAAGAGGGAATACCCCTTTTTTTATTCTGTCCTGGAGAGTCCACCTCCTAAAAAATAAACTGAGAGCGGATTGTACTCATGCAATGCTACGTTCACAGCTTCAAGGTCTTTGCAGCTGTAAAAAGGAGTGTACTAACTTAGATGGAATTCTGCCAGTCTATGCTAGTAAATAGCTTGGAAGATTCCTTCGGCGACTATACCAAAGGGGTGGGGAGCCTTATGCAATCTGAGGGCTGTGTTGGCTTCCAGGGGACACTTGCCAGTGGTGGGGAGGAGACCCAGAGGCAAAAGTGGACAGATCAATGAATGCAGATTTTACTCTTATAGGCTAGTTTCCACACATCCGGCACCCAGGCAAGCAAGAATCATTACCAGGCATCAAGGTCACATCCCAGCTGGGCAAAGGCCCTTGAGGAGGGTGTGAAGCAAGGCTGCTGAGAGGTGTGGCCTGAGGAGAAAAGGTGTGGGGTGTGGCCTGAGGAGAGTGTCAAGGGTCACAGAGAGAGAGAGATGCATGGAGGGCTGCATGAACCCCTGGGCCTGAGGTTTCCCACCTATGAACTAATGGAGCCTGGATAGCTCAGTTGTTTCAGTGGCGTAGCTAGCCGCTCGGGTGCCCGGTGCGGTGTGCATATCCTGCAGCCAGGAGTAAAGTGAGTTGCCCATGGGGGCAGGGCAAGCCATGGCAGGAGGAGCTGTATGGAGCCTCTCTGCAGCCTCCCCCTCAGCTGTAGGGTTGCTGAGGCGGTGGGCAGACACAAGCCCCACGCTGCTCGAAAAAGCAGCATGGACCTTGCAAGCAGTCCGCCTCCCCCTCAGGAGTGAACCTGGCTCAGGCACGCTGCAGGCCCCGCCGTGTGGCGCCCAGTGCCCCCTGCCTCACCTAGCTACCAGTGGCATAGGAAGGGGGGTGCGGTGGGTGCAGGAGATATTTTTAAAAAGTGTTGTATGCCCAATTTTTAAAAAATTATTTTAAAAACACATATTTTTGCCATTTTGTCACCCCCTCAGTGATGACACCCGGGGCGCCCACACCCACCACACACACCCTTCCTACGCCACTGAGTTGGTTAGAGCGTGATGCTGATAACGCCAAGGTTGCAGGTTCAATCCCCGTATGGGACAGCTGCATAGCTCTGCATTGCAGAGGGCTGGACTAGATGATCCTCAGTGTCCCTTCTAACTCTAGAATTCTATGATTCTAATACCCTGGCTCATATATTAAGGCAGTGGTGGTGCTGGAAGAATGCACACCCCTCCATGTCTCCCTGCAGATGATCTCCAATCCTCCCACATCAACCAGGCCCTCATATCATCAGCTGTTCATGTGGAAAGCCTGATTCACACTAGAGGGAACTTGTACTACCTCAACTGTAAAAAGCAGAAGCAACAAGCCTCTGAATGCCTGTTGCATGGAATCGCAAGTGGAGCAAGCGTTGCTGCAAGCAGGTCTTGCTTGCAGGATTCCCAGAAGCTTCTGGTTGGCCACTGCGAGAACAGAACGTTGGGCGAGATCCAGTAAAGCTCTCATGATGCGCTGCTCCTCTGCCACGTTGTTTTAGCACCGGCACCAGTTAAATGGTAGGAAGCGGAGCTAAAAGAAAGTAGCTTTGAAAATGGCAACGGGCCTTTCTTCCTTCAGCAAAAATTACAGGCTGTGCTCAACTATGGCCCTCTTCCTCCCCCCTCACCAGCCCAGGCATCCATGAATCATGCATGGCCAACATGCCTCGAGGCACAACATCTGTCATACTCGGTTGCTCAAGCCGCAATCGGCACGACAAAGCAGAGACGCAAATATCAGCAACGGTGCTCTCATGCACACTCCATTGGTTTCCCCATGCAGATGTGAGAGGAACTCTAACCCAAACCAATATTAACGTTCCAAACAGTTGTGAAGCCTACCGACTCCAAAAATAATTAAGGGTTCTAGCACTACTATAATTAATTGCTAACTTATTTTCCATTAGATACTGAGGGAGAATGCAACTTAAAAGTATCATTCATTAACCATTTATTACCCTGTAGGTTAATAGCTCATAATGTGACCTGGGTCCAGGCCACAAGTGGTGAGCTGCCATGTTTGCTGGCAATGGCACTCCAAGGTTTCAGGCTCTTTCCTGGAGATGCCAGAGACTGAACCTGGGATCTTCAGCATGCACTCCATGTGGTCCATCACTGAACTCTGGTTCCCCATGTATGCAATAGGCAAGCCCCGATCTGTCTACTTCATGGTATCTTCATGCCATAGCCTGAGGCAGGGTGACTGGCCAGATAAACAACACAGTTAATGGAGGGGAGGGATGCCACCAAGTGAATATACAATACCTTTAGGAGTTCTTTTGGCTCACTTCCTTCATCCACAGCAATCAACTGGGCTCTTCCATTCCGTTCATTGTCCCGAATGCCCACAGCAACCTGCGTAGCTTTCAGGCGCTCAAATTTATTGCATGTAGAGCCACACCACTGGTAGATCTCCTAGAACAAAACAAGAGATCTCATCAGTCAGCAGAATTATTCAGGGGAAAGTTTCACATGGATAGCGTGCAACGTTCCAGCGTCATTACAATTCCAAATTCTCTGTTGCAATGCAGCTGCAGATATTTGTTAATACTGACTGCACCTGGATGTTAAGTAAATTTTGGTTTACTGTTATGGGACCAAGTCTAAGGCAAGCCTAGAGCTTACCTGCTCCCCACTTTGTTCCTCTGTTTTTCTAGGATGGCTGTGAGGAGTTTAGGATCATGTCCACACCCTAATCTGTGGTTGATCTTAACTACAGTTTATTGAAACAAACCAACACCATAACCCATGAGAGGGGAAACCAATAACCACAAGCCTTACCTAAGTTCATTCCTTACACAATAAACCATGGTTTATTCATTATGGCATCACAAAGCTACAACTGTGTCTACAGATTAGTATACAGATCAGTTGCGTCTATATGGCAGAATGATTCATAACTGTTTCTATTAAGGACTAGCAAGAATGGTTCTTTGACACTATAGCTGGTTGCTATAGGTTCCCAGAGTTCCTTATGAAGAGGGGTTGACTGTGGAACCAATCTGGGAATTGTAGCTCCGTGTGGAGAATAGGGGTCTCCTAACAGTTTTCGGAGCCCTTAATGAATTACAGCTCCCAGAATTATTGGGGGAAGCTATGACTGCTTAAAGTGGCATCACAGTGCTTTGTAAGTACTTGGTGTGAAGGCAACTCATGTCAGCCCTTGATGCCAGCCCTGCCTAGTGATCCCTTGGCTGCCAAAGATGAAGGCTTCTTTGATTTGCCCTGGCATCCCAGCCGTTGGTTTAGCCAGTCATTTCTGTTTTCTTAATTATTGTTTCACAGTTCACAGCTGGCTCTTCTTAATTGCTGTCACTGTGGCTTTGATTGCTGCATTTTGATTGTTTCATTTCATTCTTTTAATTGTTCACCGCCCTGGGAGATTATGCTAAAGGACAGCTAACAAGCTGACTGAATAAATAAATCCAGCAAACTCATCCAAATAAGCTTGTATGGAAGCAGAAGCTTTAATTCAAAGACAAGCTGCAAATAATTTCACAACAGAATCGCATGGAATGAACAGATTTGGGTAGCCTGAAAGTAGAAAAACAGAAAGGTGGAATAAGAGGACTCTAAAAGAACTACAGTTCCTAGTTTATGTGCTTTGCCTAAAATTTATCTCCATTAATAAACGTCTTGTTCCTCAGTCCACAGGCGTTTTGGCATATAATGAATCCATTCTGAGCACACACCCAAGAATACAGCGTTTTCTACTTACCAGTGAAAGGAGTACTAAATGAAACTAAGCCCACGCCTACTTTCTAGATCAAACAGCTTCACTATTCACAATTCACAATTTTGAATTCTGATTCATATTCCAAAAATGCTACTACAGTGGTACCTCGGGTTACAGACGCTTCAGGTTACAGACTCCACTAACCCAGAAATAGTACCTCAGGTTAAGAACTTTGCTTCAGGATGAGAACAGAAATTACGTGGCAGCAGCGGGAGGCCCCATTAGCTAAAGTGGTACCTCAGGTTAAGAACAGTTTCAGGTTAAGAATGGACCTCCTGAACGAATTACGTTCTTAACCCGAGGTACCACTGTAAAAGCACTTGGCATGTGCCTAAAGTCAAGACAGCTATTAATTCCCCTGCCTGCTGTGAATGGGTCCCAATTGGTGAGGTCTGACACAACTCTTTACAATTTTAATAAAAGCTGAGTATCTGAAAGCCTTTCAGAGTCCCAGCTGTGAAAGGTTTCGAAACTTTCAGAAAAGCAAGAGTAGATAAACATTCCAGATTCCTAGGCAGCAACATCTAATGCAAATCACCTCCCTATTTGACCGACAAGTCGGTTTTCGCCAAGCCACATCCTGCATCATCAGGCGTTGGGCACATAAACATGCGGCTCAGCTGAAAGGGGTGAGGACTGCTGTTGTTATCAGAGACAGGCAGGACTCTGAGGGGCATGTGAGGAGGCAAGGGGGGTGGAGGATCATGGGGCCAGTGATTTGTGCAGAAGGCAGGAGTCAGGGCTTGGGGAAGAAGGAAAGTCAGGGCTGTCAGAGACAGGGGAAGAGTTGCAGGGAGGGCAGGAAGAGGAGAAAGAGCCGGTCCATGAGAGAGTTGGGCCATTAGGATCTCCTCAGTCCAATGTCTCCAAGGTCAAGGAGGGGCCCTTTGTACCAGGTGCAAAGGCGGAAGATGCCGGCTACTTGCATGAGCCCCGTCAGGTGAGGGAATTTGAGTTTGGGAAGAAGTGTGGTCATGCTGTTGCATCAGTGGTCCAGTTCAGGGCACAAGCATGGAGGGGAGTAGATGCCTAGCTAGCTACATAGCAGGAGGGGTGTATATATAAATAATAATAATAATAATAATAATAATAATAATAATAATAATAATAATTTATACCCCACCCACACTGGGCGGCTTCCAGCAAAATATAAAAAATAATAAAATGTCAGACATGAAAAACTTCCCTGAACAGGGCTGCCTTCAGATGTTTTCTAAAAGTTGTGTAATTCTTTATCTCCCTGACAACTCATGGTAGGGCATTCAGTCGTTTTTATCCCCTGCTGTGGTTGCAGCCTTGTGGCATATTTATCATACTGGGGCCTTGTTTTATCATTTAATAAAACTGAATTTTATCCTTTTTTTCCTTTTGTGGTCTGGATGCCTGTTCCCAGTTACATGATCTGTTTAACCCTTGTGTTTATGTGTATTATCATTCACACAGTAAGGAATCCTTATTGGCCTGGAAATGAGGTAGTGGCAATACAGTCAAGTGAGAAATCTAATTCGCCTATTAACATCATTTTTGAGTGTTGAAAGGCACCCCAGAACAATATTTAGACAGACAAGCACGTGTCACCAGCACAACCTCTGAACTGATAATGAAAACCTCTTTTTTTGTTTCCTCACACACACATAAACTAAATAAAAGGACATGGGGTTATTAAGGAAACAAAAAGAAGAAACAGCAATTGGGATGTTTCAAAGTGTTCATTGCACAATTCTGTACATTAACAGTGAACTCATTCTGTACGTGTGGATTCTTATGTAGCCAAAATGGAATAACCCACACACAAGACGGAAGTATGAGTAGGGTTGAGGAGACCCCGAGAAGTACAAAAAAAGTTATTTTTAAAACTCTAAGCTGGGGAAGACCCAATGCAAAGTGACTGCATTTGGTAGGCACAGATTGCAGATTCACTGCTGGAGGAATACGTGAGGAGGGTAAAATAGAGTTTCCTGGAAGAGCTGGCTGGAACCCTGACAGAAAGCACTTTTACTCTGCAGCATTTTATTGCAGGTCCAAGTTGTTTCAAAGCACATATTGCCTTCTAGAGAAATGTTCTTTCGGCTGCAGCTAATAGCATCTCATTGCTGATTTTACGAAGTATTCTGCATTTTCATTATCTTAGTTGTGCAATGTTTATTGGTGGCCAGTACAAACGGTTATGCGAACGTAGCAGAATATTCTCATTTAGCAACGCTAGTGTGCATTTGCTATGGAAGGCTTGCCAAATTAATCAGATTAATTGTTTAGTAAGGCACCTGAATTTCCAGTTCTTGCTTCATGTACAGTAAATGCCAACCAGATGCACAACCACGTAGGGATATGAAATGAGAAAATCTCAACATCTCTTGGCTTAGTCAAGAAACAGAAAACAAAGCTCAAAGCATTTTTTAAAAAAATATATATGCAAATAACGTATGAAAATATACTGCATGGGCAAACACCATGGCTCCATGGAAGCTGTGTTTGCAATCCATATACCTTATCTGGTTACAAAAGTAAATCAACAAGATTTGAAGGTTGTTGTGTGTTTCCTCGCCACACCCTCAAAATAATCTGCCACACTGTCTAATAAATTGTATCACTGTGATCCCAAAATTCCTCAGAAGGACAGCAGCACAAAAGAGCTGAATGACCTTTCAACACACACAAAAGCAACATTCTGAAGTGACCCAACTGTAATTATGGACCTAAATATGTTTATTCTGCAATATTCTTATTCAGAAAAAAAGCAAGTCTTTCCTTCAAAACTCTAGTTCGAGCGTGGGGGATCTGTGGCCCTCCAAATATTACTGGACTCCCACTCCCATCAGCCCCAGCCAGCATGGTTAGAAATGATGGGATTTGAACTTCAACAACAACAGGAAAGCCATAGTTTCCCCCCCCTTGCTTTTAGCTCACAGCATCTTCCTTCTGCATTCTCTCTAACCTTTCACAATGGGCTGCTTATTCTCAGTTCTTTGTAATGATAAATCGTGAACATTCAGCCCGGGTCCCATATTGACCACCTGATAATGAATACTACATCCTTAACCAGGTCTCATGCCACTGCCCTAAGTCAAATTTAATATTTTGACCACACGAGGGGAGTAAACAAGATGAAGGGAAATAGCAAATCTGATTCCAATCTTGAGAAATCCTGGCTTTTTTCAATGCTTCTTACATATGGTTGTTTCTGTCTTTGAATCAGAACTACATTAAGATAAAGGAATTCCTTTTTAAAGGGACGCGGGTGGCGCTGTGGGTTAAACCACAGAGCCTAGGACTTGCCGATCGGAAGGTCGGCGGTTCGAATCCCCAAGACGGGGTGAGCTCCCGTTGCTCGGTCCCTGCTCCTGCCAACCTAGCAGTTCGAAAGCATGTCAAAGTGCAAGTAGGTAAATAGGTACCGCTCCCGCGGGAAGGTAAACAGCGCTTCCATGCGCTGCTCTGGTTTGCCAGAAGCGGCTTAGTCATGCTGGCCACATGACCCGGAAGCTGTACGCCGGCTCCCTCGGCCAATAAAGCAAGATGAGCGCTGCAACCCCAGAGTCGGTCACGATTGGACCTAATGGTCAGGGGTCCCTTTACCTTTATTCCTTTTTAACCAAGCTTTGCTGGGGCCATTTTAGAGCATGACAAATTCTAGAAAATATTGTTTCCTGTTGGTCTTTTATCTGCTTAAATGCTTCAAGGGATGTGGTCAGCAGCAAACCACCAGTGCTTGCGACACAAGTTATTTTGAGTCTAATATTGCAGAGGAAGTGTTTGTAATGTATAGAGAAGATCTTGGTTTGGGGCTCAGACTTAATTATATGGCAGTTTTTGTAGGAGATTTTGTTGCTTTGGAAAACTTCATTCCTTGACCACTTACCGTTCCAAGGTCAACAATGAAGCAGTCTCCTTTATTGAAACTGTCCCAGCTAAGAGGAACTTCGGTGGCTCGAATCACTCTCCGGCCTTTGATATGCAGAAGTCTTCTTGCGCTGAGGTCATTGGTGACCACATGATTAAAGCCCGAGGCAACACCACCTGCCTAAATAAAGTGAAGCAACTTAGGGTTAGTTGGTTTCTGTGATGGAGTATATAAGGGCCTAGTACACATATACACATACAGAAGTAGATCATACATCACACCCAGCCAGATTTGCACTAACACAGAAAACTGAATTTGAAACCTGAGAAGGTGGTCAGGGAGACAGACCAGTTGCTTCTTCTGGTTGGGCTTGCACTTCCTTGGAAAGGACAAGTTTGAAGTTTGAGGCTGTACCTGGATCTATCTTTGTCACTGAAAAATCAGGTGGCCTCAGTGCCTTTTACCAGCTATAGCTGATACATCATCAACAGCAGCCATTTTTCGACAGGGATAGTTGGGCCAAGAGGATCTATACATAAGTAACCTTAGTGGTGTCCAAACTTTTTTCAAAGAGGGCCAGATTTGATGAAGTGAAGGGCCATGAGGGCCAACCAAGGTTGTTGATTTTACCCCAAAGTTGTTGAGCTCTTTTTAGGATTTTACCCCAGGAAATAAACTGCCGACTGGTGGGACATAGACTACATGGGGCTGCCCTATTGAACTTCTGCCACTTATTGAAGCCTTTAAAAAAAATAAAAAATATTCCAGCATGCATTTTAATTGATGTGTGATTTTATAGCCTTAATTGATTTTGATTTTTTGTATCGTATCTTTGTAAACCACTTAGAGACTATTGTTTGCTTCAAGTTCTGCTTTAACACCGAGTCGGAACTGTAACTTCTTTTTAGTTCCCTTTTCAAAGGTTCCAATTATTGTAGACACATCACGCAATCACACTATTACGTACCTTATACTTTATGCCACCTTTGAAATATCCAACAAATTGAGTAGACTCATATCCCTGGATTTCCCGATGCTGAACAGGCTTTCCTCCAAGATAATCATCCATCTGAACCGTAAAGATGGCTGCTGCAGTACTTTCATCCTGACTGCACTCTTTTCCTAAAACCAGACAGGAATGTTCTTAATAATATTCTTGATTTCCTAAAGTAATTTTCCTAAAGTATTTTCCTAAAATAAGAATATTTAGAGGAGCAAAAATAGCAAAGAAGGGCAAACTATTACAGATTAAATGCCTGCCTGTACAATACAGTTAAATTATTTTAGATGCCATGAGTTCCTCCTAAGGAACTTTGGGTAGTCCGGTTTGCTGAGGCCAGCAATGATGTCCTCCACATACATTGACCAGGTTCCAAAGAGTGCAGTTTTGACATATGTCTATTTATTTAATAGGGACGCGGGTGGCGCTGTGGGTTAAACCACAGAGCCTAGGACTTGCCGATCAGAAGGTCAGCGGTTCGAATCCCCGCGACGGGGTGAGCTCCCGTTGATCGGTCCCTGCTCCTGCCAACCTAGCAGTTCGAAAGCACGTCAAAGTGCAAGTAGATAATGTTGGGAGTTGGAACTTAACTGGTTAAGAAGTTCCCAGGATGCCTCAACATTCTGACGTCAGCTGTGGAAGCTGGGAGGAGCCTGGGAGTGGTTTCTGTTCTGTTCCCCTCTGGTCGTTGAGGGAGAAAGACGTAGCCGGTAATGGCTGCGGTGAGTCCAGGAGAATCCTGGGGAATATCGGAATAAAGAGCTGTAAATAGACAAACCTGGAGTCTCTGTGTGTTTGTCTGGAAGCTGAATCAAGCTGCGTGACAGTTCTACACCGCTGTGCGAAACTCTGCTGAGCCGTGACAGAGAGGAGCTGCGGAAGCGTGCCGGGCAGCCATAAATAGCTAATTGAGGACCAATAAATCAATTAGCGGGGGTCACGGCTAACTACCAAATGTCACAGGTTATGGATCCATAAATCATCGCTTGTAAAACTGTCACGGAAGATACTGCCGGGAGCTTTGATCTGCGGTGTCGAGCAGGGGGCCGGCAGGAGGTTGAAGGACTTTTTGCCTGGTGTTAAGAGGCAAAGGAGCAGCTGCGGAGTTTGAAAGCAGCTGGCTGAAAAACGCAGAGAGTTGCCTGTGTTGCTGACTGCTGTGGAGCCAAGGAGCTGAGAACAGCAGGGAATCGTTTCTCCACGGAAGGGAAGCCAGAGGAGCTGAAACTGGTCTTGTGAGTACAGCTTGGGGCCCCTTGGGAGAACGGAAGAGGATGGCAGGCTGCCAGGTCTTGGAGGACATTCCAGGCTCACTTTAAGAAGTTGGGCAACCTGGCTGCTGATCTGAAGTCTACTGTTCTGGGTGCCAGGAAGCCAGAGGCCGTTCAGCGCTCCAGGGTGTTTGTGAGGCTGGAGGCGAAAAGCAAGGGCCGGGAGATGGCTGCTTCAGAACAGAAAGGCAAGATGGCGCTGACCACCTTCGTGAGAGCCGGTACACAGCTGGGAAGGGCTGTGGGCCCCAGAGGGGGGCAAAGGGACTAAGGGCTGCTTGGAAACGTGCTGTGTTTGCTGTGAAGCTTCAGCAAAAGGCCAGAGCCCTGGAGAAGGAATACAAAAGCCTAGAGATGGCTGGAGCCCCTGTCCCTGATGCTTTAGCCACAAGGAGTGCTGCTGAGCAGGTCGGGGGGGCGGAAGGTTTCCAAAGGCACGTTTAAAGTTTTCCACTCTGTACGTGCTGGAATCAAGTGGAGGTTCAGAGGGGGCGGAGCTGGCAAGGAGTGCTTTTCCGGAAGAAGGAGAAGGAGGCCAGCTGGGTGGAGCCCCGGAGCAGTGTTTTTCCACTGGAGTTCGTCATTGCTACACGTGTAATGCGGGACGCTTGCGACGCTGCTGCCCATGCTCTTGTCTGTACTTCAGAAGTACTGGTAATTCGCAACTTCAAAATATAATCTTTAATCACAAATATAACCTTTAATAATTTCCCGTTACATGCAGCCAAAGAAGGTACCTTCGGGTGCAGGACTTTGTTTTGCGCACCAAACAGAAGCTGTGTGCATGTGTGTGTGTGTGTGTGTGTGTGTGTGTGCATGAAACCTCAGGTGCAACCTCAGGTCAAAATGGAAATTGGCAGATGTAGATAGAGAGTTTTCATCAAGGGATATATGAGTTGAGCACAAAACCAAGCAGAAAAAGATTTACACACTGCCAGACCTTCTCCTGAGAGGCCTGGGCCACTTCCAGCATTTTAGGCCCCTAGCCATGATAATAAAGAATAAAAAATGATGATACACGAAAACCAAATAAAGCATCCCTGCCAAAAAATAATAATTAATGATTTGTTTATATAATCAGCATATCTGAGACGGCATGTCCATCACAGTCCAATCTTGTGCCAGCAGATCAGAAATATTTTTTAATTAATATGGATGAACATTTTAAACTCAGGTTGGATGGCCATCTGTCAGGGATGCTTTGGTTGAGATTCCTGCATTGCAAGAGGTTGGACTTGGGGTCCCTTCAAATTCTATGATTCTTTAATGTGACAAAACCTATTATCAGCTAACCCAAAAAATGTGTTTCGCCAAACCACATCTCTTCGTTGATTCACTATGCAGCTCTGAGCGGACAAAGTGTGTTGCATTTTGGTCTTATGTGCATAAGCTTATCAAATGCCTCCAAAATGGACAAGAGTATAAATCTGAGGGGCCCAACATTTGAGCTTGAGACCCAGGCCAAAGGGCCCTCCTTCTACCCTCCCCCCACTCCTGTCAGCCCTGCACACAGCCTCTTCTGCAAACCACAGGAGATACCTAAACACAGGGCAACACAGCACCGCGGGTGGCAAAATTCTTTAGCAAAACTGCCAACTGCCTCACCTTGCCAATAGCCTCTGGTTCTTTCTGCAGAAAAATGAGTTTACCACATTTTATGTGCACATTACTCCTTGCAGCATCCACCTGGCACTGTGGAATGAGGTGATCTAGAAAAGAGTTCTTTGGAGGAAAGGTGGCTATCAATGTAATAAATAAATGTTTATTTTGTTTTATCGCTTTCAATTGTTCTGCTTTCATCATTTGTTTTTGTGTTACTTATACGCTATTGCAATTTCTGATGCGATGATCTTGATGGAAATGTTGTCCACTATTTTTTAGTGCTTTGTCATGATTGTGAGCTGCTTTGAGCTCAATATTGCAGTTGGAAAAACAGTGTACAAACATTAAATCAAATTCCAAACCCCACTTAGCCATGAAGCTCACTAGGCTATTTGGGCCAGTCATTCTCTCTCAATCTAACCAACTTTATAGGGTTGTTGTGAGGATAAGGAGGGAGAAACATGTATGCCACCCTGAACATCTTGGAGGAAGAGCAGGATAGAAACATTATTTTATTTTATTTTAAAAAACTATTTCTAAAAAGAGAGGCAACGTCATTCAGGGCAGTATGGGAAACCTGCCATCTCTCCTGGAAAGAAGCCTCGTACCTCAGTTCCAGAAATGCAGGGACTTAAGGCATTTGCTCTGTACATGCTCAGGAATACTTTTTATAATTATTATAAAATATTAATTCATAACTGTTTCTTTAAATATGGAGCAGGACCAAAGCAGGGAAAAGGTGACGCTAAATGGGTTGGACCCTAAGACCAAGATTAACATTGCCTGCAAGTTCCTAGTATCTGCAAAGAAACAAACTCTTATGTCACCTTGAAGGCTAACAGATTCATTGTAACAAGAGATTCTCTTTTGCATTTATTGTAGGAGGCAAATCTGGTTCCACCTTTTCGGGACATGTCACCTTGGAAGGCACCGGATTTAGCCACATTGTGGGAACCCACAATAAATATGTTGATAATATCATTCTTTCTACAAAGCCACATGTGTGTGTAGAGCTTTAAAGGGCACAAGAGGGCAGGTCCCTGCCTGCGGGGAGTTTACAATCTAGACTGAACGGTGCCATAAGATTCCTCTTTGTAGCACCTACAACAGATATCTGCTGCTTACAAAACAGCTCGGGTGCTGAGCTCCTTTGCAACTCATCTTCTGGAATCAGCATCAAAGAAGACACACACACACACACACACACATCTCCCCGCCAGTACTTTAAATCCTATAATCTGTGCCCCGAAGGAGAAACAGAATTCTGCAGAAACATTATGGCACCAGCTGGGTAACACTGCCAAAACTTTTTGACAGCAAACCCAGGCAGCTGAGAGGAACACTGTCGCATCTGCTTTGCACAGGAAGGGGCTCAGTTTCAAACCTCAGCATCCCCAGGTAAAAGCTGGTAAAGATTCCTGCCTGAAACCCTGGGCAGTGGATGCCTGTCAGTCTATAACTGAGCAAGTTGCACCAATGATACCAAGCAGCCTCCTAATAATGTGTAGCAGCAACAAGGAAGGTGGAGGTGTCAGGAGCCAACACAGAAGGAGAGACAGTATGGTGTAATGGTTAGAGCACCAGACGAGGGCCTGGGAGAACAGGATTCAAATCACCACTTGGGATTTGAAGCTCATGAAGTTCACCTTGGGCCAGCCACTGTCTCACACCCTAACCTACCTGACAGGGTTGTTGGGAGGGTAAAATGGGAACACCCCGCATTTCGATCAGGAGCCGCTTTCCCAAGCTCCCTTGAGGAAAGCGTGAGAAAATATAGATATGGAAAAGGCACCTTCCTGAACGTGTCAAACTCTCTTGAGTAGAAGAGATTGGCTCATCCACAAGAACTTTTCCAGACCGGCGGGGGAAGCACCCAAAAACAAAAGCGCATCATGTGGCCCCTTAAAGCCTAGCGACAGGTGCCGCTAGACCAGGAGGTGGCTGATTTTGCCCCCTCCCTTCTACCCTGCATCCACCCCCCACTGTTCCGTACCTAGCCAGTAGTGCAGATTGTAGAAGGTGGCGTTGCTCCTCTTGACAGTGTGCAGCACCAAGTAGGCGTCGCCCACGTAGAAGTTGCCGTGCAGCGGTTCGGGCACCGGCACCAGATCCAGTTTCTCGATCCGCCAGATCTGCAGCCCAGCCCGGTGGCCCGCACTGGCGAACTCTTTGTGGTACAGCTCCGGGGGCGCCATCGATGCTCCTCCGGCCCCGATGTCAACCAGCGAAGTCCTTCCCGAAGTGGCCCAAAGTTGAGCGTAAAAGCGCACGAGCTTTAAACCCACTTTGCAATTACGCAGCCGGACGGAGTTTGCGAAGCCGGCGCTGCAGCTCCCCTGTTTTATGGCACGAGCGCTGCGTTTGCACAGCCAAGGGGCGAGGCCTGTCAGTTCCCCGAGAGGCGGGTCTTGCGGTTGTATCTCTCCCCAGAGCCGACGGGGCGGCCGGGAGAGGCCCCGCTGCGCCCAGCCCCAAGCGCACCTATGGCAAGGCGAGGGCGCGCGGAGGGCAGGAGCTGCTGCTGCTGCTCAAAGGCCGCTTGTGCGTCGAGGAACCGCAGGAAAACCTCCAAAGTGCTACTCAGCTCTCCTCTCAATCCCGGCCTTGTTCTCTCTCCTCTTTGGAAGCGATTCATTCTTACAGCAGTTCCAGCCAACGCCTGTCTACAAATCTATATAAAGCTGTCGGGGCCATTTCTTTCTCCAGTTTTAAGGTCCAGGGACGTCATTCCTTGAATATGTAAAAAAATAAGTTTTTTAAGTCTCTGAGCATGCACAGCATGCTTCCCTTTCCTCTGCCTTTGAGGAGCTGGTGAGGAAAGGATCCCCAGGTGGATTTGCAACTGGAGAAAACTCTTCCTTCAGCTATCTGTTTCAGAAATGCATACAGTTTAATAAATTTTACGCTGCATTGGTGAAGCAGTGCCACCTTTGGTGGTTGTGCCAGATTCAGCTGGACAGAGCAAAAGCACAGTGGTATTCCTGTGTGAGAAGAGAGGCAGGGCAAGGTTGATAAAGGGATTCAGGAAGTCAACATATTTGTTTATACATTATACACAAGGCTGTGTACATGCTATTAAAGCAAACCTGAAGGACATTTTCCCCTTTCAAAGAATTCCGGGCTCTGTAGTTTTATCCCCCACTGAGGTACAATTCCCAGCAGCCTTTGACAAACTACAGTACCTACCATCTTCTGAGGGAAAGAATGTGTTTTGGACATGCTTGGAAGGTATAAGGTAAAGGGACCCCTGACCATTAGGTCCAGTCATGACCGACTCTGGAGTTGCAGCGCTCATCTCACTTTATTGGCCGAGGGAGCCTGCGTACAGCTTCCGGGTCATGTGGCCAGCATGACTAAGCCGCTTCTGGCGAACCAGAGCAGTGCACGGAAATGCCGTTTACCTTCCCGCTGGAGCGGTTACCTATTTATCTACTTGCACTTTGACGTGCTTTCGAACTGCTAGGTTGGCAGGAGCAGGGACCGAACAACGGGAGCTCACCCCGTCACGGGGATTTGAACCGCTAACCTTCTGATCAGCAAGTCCTAGGCTCTGTGGTTTCACCCACAGCGCCACCCGCGTCCCTCTTGGAAGGTATAGGGTGTACCAAAGGTCCATCTAGCTCAGTATTGCATACTCTGACTGGAAATAGCTCTCCAGGGTTTCTGATGGAGGATATTCCCAAGCCATACCAGGCATTGAACCTGGGGCTTACATGCAAGGCTCTGCCACTGAGCTATGGCCCTTCCTCACTCACTGAGGCTCCATATTACAATGTATATTGCAGGGAATTATAGGTTGAATTATTTTTGTGGGAAGCTAGTCCATGTCGAAAGCACTTTGTTGCTTTACCTGAAGGAGCGTCTCCACTCTCATCATTCAGCCCGGACACTGAGGTCCAGCTCCGAGGGCCTTCTGGTGCTTCCCTCACTGCAAGATGTAAGGTTACAGGGAACCAGGCAGAGGGCCTTCTCGGTGGTGGAGCCCGCCCTGTGGAACGCCCTCCCATTAGATGTCAAGGAAATAAAGAACTATCTGACTTAGAAGATATCTGAAGGCAGCCCAGTTTAGGGAAGTTTTTAATGTTTGATGTTTTATTGTGTTTTTTATATTCTGTTGGGAGCCACCCAGAGTGGTTGGGGACACCCGGCCAGATGGGCGGGGTATGAGTAATAAATTATTATTATGATTACAGCCAGGCCTCTACATGAAGTGAGAGTGTGTCCCCATGACCATCAGCAGCTTTGAGGAAATGGTACATGGCTGCTGACAGTTTATTTTCCCATCTTGTTTGTTTGTTTGTTTGTTTGTTTGTTTGTTATCTGCCTTTTGATTGAATGATACGTCTAAAGTGGATTATGCAACACCGTATAGTATATCAGTTTGAGAATGGATTGCAGCTTTGGCTTCATCATGCAAGAGTGGATCAGATAAGAGAGGTGTTGAGGAGGATGGTTATTAATATAAATTAATTAAGTTTATCGCCTTCCACACTCTGATGTCAAGGTGATGTACAAGTTACAATAATAAAAAAAACCCAACAACCCCAGTGTGATCAATCTCAGCAGCGTGCTCAATTAAAACATACAGAGTTCTGAGTGCAATGAATCCTTTCCCCCCCTACTTTTGCACCTGTTAAATATTGGCCCAAAGCAAAGGACAGGAGACTGATAGAAGAAAAAAATCACACAGACATACACACACCCCGAGCCCTGTGACACTCTAAAGATTAATAGGATGGGGGTGACCTAAACTCAGGTGGCATACAGCCAACTTCTTGAAATGCCAGGGGACCCTGTGTGTGTTTATTGTAACAGACTCGCAAGATCAGCCCTCTGGGATTCACCAGTAAGAGGAACTAGAGCCACCCTAGGTATCTAACACACCACAGCAAAATCGTGCCTTTTACCCCTGTCCAATAATGAAACTGGCACACTGGACACAAAAATGTAAGTGCTGTACTCAGCAATTAAAATAAAGAACCCTCCACTTTTTCTCCGGTATTAAAAGAAGGGGGGGAATCTAAGACAGCATATGCAGCTTGCTAGGAATCAGATGAGATGCTTTGCTTGCTAAGTTCAGGGGTCAAAGAAGAGTTTGACTGACAATATTGGCAGCTAACAATATTGGTTTGAAACAAAACACTTAATGGAACAGGTGGGTTTTGAGCCAGGATCTGAAAGAACAGCGAGAGACGGCATCGCAGAAGGTGAGCTCAGAGGCAGTTTGAAGCATAAGGGGTAGGAACACAGACAGAGAAAAGTAGACCTTCAGCTGGCTGAAGGTGGCGGGAGCTGCAGAACAAGGTCACGGAAAGCTACGTATTTGGATATAAAAGAAGAAGTAAGATGCTTGTTAAACAATATTTGCTTAGCGAACAATATTGCAATACAGAACAAATATGCTTACTCAGCCAATTTAGGCTGCATACCCCGCTAATCCATCTGGAAACGCAAAAATGTAGTGTTTCTTGAAGTCTGGAATCGTTTCAGGCTTATCTTCAACAAGCTGTCTGTCATTCATGATTGATTTCTTAATCCTGCCATCTGCAAGGGTGGGTGTGGCTGCTAGTTTTAGGTTATGTGTGTTAATATTGTTGTTTTTAATTGTAATATTCTTTAGGGGACGATACGCCAGCATTCTTTAGACTATACGCCACACAGAGTCTTTTAGACTGCTTCGTGTCTTCTAAACTGGTAATATCCTACCTGTGGTAATCCAGCATTTATAATACTTGTTTATAAGTGTTTAGTTCTCCCCCCGCATATGCTAAGTTGTTGAATAAGCAGTTTGGTTTGCACCAGTTCTGTTAGCTACTAATATTGTGAAACTGGCATGCCATATGACCCCTGCCCCCACTGCCAGACCTTACCAACCATCTGCCGCATATGCTGACTAAGTTTGTTTCACGCTGGAGAAAGTGGGTGTCTTTAACTGCTGACTATCATACTTTCATTTTTGCATCAGTTGTGCCAGTTTCAATATGTCTTGGGCAGGCGGCAGGCCTGGGCAGGCTGTGTTTTCCTGTTATATACCTGCTGGGATTGACAAGGCATCTGACCCTCACCTGAATCTCATAGCTCTCCTGACGAGTGCTTTGGTCTGCCCACCAGATACCAGGTCCTCTTTTATTCAAATTATGCCCCAAGTGTTTTTGTTACAATCCCCACAAGTGGCCCCCGGGCTAGACTTTGGACATACCTGCATTAAATGAAATCCGGTGACATTACGGGGATGGATTTTGTCAGGGGATAGATTTGTAAATCTGGGGACTGTCCCTGGGAAATGGGAATGTCTGGTAACCATAACATATTATCAGGCAGGTGTGGATACACCTTTCACTGCCAGGACCACCTACATCTGTTTTCCAATGGACACACTGAAGGATGCCAAAACTAACCATGAACACCTCCCTTGTTCCCTTACAATGGCAATGGTGCTCACCTGAGAGGTGTTGAGTTTCTGCTGAAAAAAAGCCCTGGATTTTGTGTGCAGCAGAACTTTCAAAGGTTTTCGTTTCTTTACCAAGCTGAAGTTTCTCACCTGAAAGCGGTGCCAGGTGCCAGCACTCAATAGATGCCATTAAGTTCTGAGAAAAAGGAAGCTCTGCTTTGAAGATCTCTCAATTGCTGATTGCTACATTTGCAAAAAAACAACAACCCCACTTCCCCACAAATTCCTCTTAACAAGTTATTAGAAGAATGTGACAGAAAAGAGGAAGGCTGGTTCCTCTTACGTGTCCCACCAAAGTGCCTGGGTACCCTCAAAACAGTATGTGTATCAGCACTGCTGCACCCTAAAAAATGCTTCAGTCTCACACCAATTGGTGCAACCGTGGCAAGTATCAAGGCTGAGCGGGTCTAGGCTATGTTTGGTGTTTAGTGAAATGGTTGTTTAATTGATTCACCACTCTCTCAGCTTGTAGAGCAACTTCCTGGTTGCCTTAGCTCACTTTACTTTTTAGAAACACTGTATTTCAGGCATTCCTAAGATACTTTAGACAGACAATTAAAGCCCACTACTTGTTAAGGATGCGGGTGGCGCTGTGGGTAAAACCACAGAGTCGGCGGTTCAAATCCCCGCAATGGGGTGAGCTCCCGTTGCTCTGTCCCTGCTCCTGCCAACCTAGCAGTTCGAAAGCACGTCAAAGTGCAAGTAGATAAATAGGTACCACTCCAGCGGGAAGGTAAACGGTGTTTTCGTGTGCTGCTCTGGTTCGCCAGAAGCAGCTTAGTCATGCTGGCCACATGACCCAGAAGCTGTACACCAGCTCCCTTGGCCAATAAAGCGAGATGAGCGCCGCAACCCCAGAGTCGGTCACGACTGGACCTAATGGTCAGGGGGTCCCTTTACCCTTTACCTTTACTTGCATATGTAGGCAAATACTGAAGTTGTCAAGAGTAGATTGTGGGTTGTTGTTTTTTAAATGACTAAAGATATGCTCAGAGTAGACTGGAAATTACTTGGGAAACATTGCATTGCAAACTCGTTGCCTAACAATCCATCTGATGACTGCTTTTGCTATGTGGCAAACTC